AGAGACCTGGAATTAGCGCAAAATGATCGATACGCAACAGGAAGTGAGGGCAAATCTGCAACCGGTGTCCCCAATGGACGATTCGCCATCACTTCCTGTTTTGGTGACAACTCTGATATTCTGGAGGGCGGCAGGGGAAGCTGGTACGTGCACTCCTGCACCGGTTGGCCTTTTGTTGGCGCACTAAAGTACCCAGCATGCCCCTGGCGGCAAAGGCGCCCGCGTCCCCCTGCCACAGGTGGCCTCTACTCACCGTGACGCCGTACTTCAGCGCCAAGCCTTGCAGCGTGTCCCCCGGGACCACCAGGTGCTCCACCTTCCGGATTCTGGCCGGCGAGTGGACCATGCTGCCGTAGGAACGCGCCCTGGTGCCCCGGAGCAGCCCGGAGTCCCCCGGGGTGGAGGAGGCCATGTCTCTGCACAGACAGGGAACACTTCACTGCTCTCACATGATGTCTGCTGCTTCTCCTAATTCAATTTCCAGCACAGAAGAGGAGGAGGAGGGAGGACATGTTGTGGTCACATGACCCCGCCCGTCCGCCCTGACCACGGCGGCTTCTCGCCGACGGCTCCTCTACGGCTCGGAACCGCTGACAGCAGCTGGCCAGAGGTGACAGCGCCCGGGCATGCCGGGAAATGTAGTCTGACAACGAGGGAGGGGGCGGGGCTACGGAACAACACCCTGGGAAGATGTCACGTGTTGTTTGCGGAGAGCGGGACTACATTTCCCAGAAGGTAGTGCGGAGGGGGCTACGGAAGCCTGCTGAGGAGGAAAAAAAATGTCGTTCAAGCGAGAGGGGGACGATGGGAGCCACGAATGTAACCAACGTGTCCCGCCGTCCCCTGTCTCCATGCAGAAGCGGAGGGTGGCCGATTTGCTGGCCAGCTACATCCCGGAGGACGAGGCCTTGCTGATAAAAAATGGAAGGTGGGTGATCCACAATGGCCGCCTCCTTCATGACCGGTGCGCTCAGAACCATTGGCGGATCCAGATGTAGGAGCGGCTGAAGTCATGTGCTAATCCTAACTTCTCCTGCAAAGTCCCCTCCCCCACCTCCCGAACGTTCCTATTGGCCCTTTAAAGTGACATAAAGGATATTTCTGGAAGGAATTGCATTGTGTGTAACGGCTACAAACTGCCTGGAGCCCTCGGCTGTGGGAGAGCTGATTTCCTTCCATCTAAACCAAAATTGTTTCCGGAACTTTTCGCCTCGGCTCCTCTGGGTAAGAAGAAAAAAAAAACGAATGACAGTGTCATGTGATCTCATTACAGCTACGCCTGCACCGTGTGTCACCACAGACCCGTCTTCACCACCGTAGACATGCTCTCCATCCACCGCAAGGGGAAGAAACACACAGCCTGTAAGTAGACGTATAGACACAGCCTGTTCCTCGTGGGCGTGTCCTGTAATCTCACGGGAGGGAATTAGGAGTCGCTTCTATATAGTGCTTGTGTCTTGTAACCTCAGGGGAGGGAAATAGGCGGCACAGCCCTTCCTCGTGGGCGTGTCCTGTATTCTCAGGGGAGGGAAATAGGAGTCGCTTCTATATCGCCTGTTCTTTGTGGGCGTGACTTGTAACCTCAGGGGATGGAAATAGGAGTCACAACCCTTCCTCGTGGGCGTGCCCTTTAACCTCATGGGAGGGAACTTGGAGTCTCCTGTAGCAGCCAATCTGACTTTGTAAAGGCAAAATGACGGCTTGAAGCTGATTGGCTGCACTGGGGCCGCATGTTATGAGACGTCTGGTGCAGTGTGCCGGGGATGCCATATACCGCGATTCGGGCTATCTGACCCCCCCCCCGGCCATCCTTCTCTTCTCCAGGTCTGCAGAGGTACTACGGGAAGAAGGCGGAGTTCAGGAACGAGGTGCAGAAACGCCAACACCGGGAATACGTCCGCGCGGAGGAGGCGGGAGAGCAGGTAATGCCGCACTACTGACCAGGGCACCAGGCTCACTTTATTAGTGGCCCCGCCAGCTGCACATTCTCACCTTCCCTTCACTGCCCCCTCCCG